CCAGAGACGTAACAATATTAAATTCATTATTGTTTTATAGTGCTGATTTTAATCGTCTATGAACAATTAATGTATTGCATAGTATGGTATTTATTGATATATATATATATATGCATTTTATTCATATTGTAAATACTTGCCATTTGCGGGCTTATAACGGAAAAGTACCAAAAAAAAAGATGCCATTATAAGCAGTTTGTAAGAAATAAAAATAAAAAGCGTATGCATATAAGATCATTATATAAATAAAAAGTTGCTCTAAGATATTTGCCCACTCTATCTATACGATAATTTCGCGAATCATTCTGGTGGAATATTTTTACTTTTTATAGTATTATTTCTGAAAAAAAAAAAGCACATACTTTACTTAAAGTTACCATCTTCTGTGTAGCTAATTATGTTAAATTAAATATTTTGGACGCTATTTGATTGAGAAAACGTGAGCTTTAGAACAGTTAACCGTTTGCTTTTTAATGTGTCAATATTTACAACACACACATATGTGTAGATAGGCGAATGACCTTTATGATCTCTGGTGGCATAAAGAAGAGGCGTGGATTCTGCGTATTGTCACGTGACGTGTCGTTGGAAGTGAAGCAAACAAGAAGGCTCGTAAATGTACATCATTTAGTTTCATTCTGTAGGATTTTGTTGAAGTTTCAAGATAGTTGAGTGTGTAAAAACTACGTGATAATATATTCTGTATTAGTGATCGGTATGGTTTATACTTACAGTTGTTATGGTCAATATGATGCCTTGTGTGGTGTGTTGAACTTTGCTTCTATACGTTCTCAAATACTAACTATACTGTGTAGTACTGGTAGTAGCAGTAATACTAAATTAGCACAAAGTTTATGTTAAATGTTGTAGTGTTTTGTTGGCACTCTCAGTGTGAATGAACATCGAGAACGAAGTTACTTCGATTTTCTTTCGGGAAATAGAGAAAGCATACAGATGTAAGTGTAACTTTTTAAGTAACATCTTAACTGTTTCTTTCTTTTCGTTGTAATAACGCTATTGGTATCAATAAACCTTAACTAATAGTAATAACTAGTAACATTACTGTTTACGGTTAAGCCTCAATAAGAGAAGTACAGATATTATTAATAGTAATAGTACAGGGTATGTTCACTCTCTAAAGTTTAACTAAGGATGGTGTAATGTACTATCGATGTAATAAAAAGGAAAAGGAAATATACTACTTACTTTTAAATTTTTTAAATGATCCAAACTATTTGTGTTAAACTGTTAATATTATTAAGCATTAAAAATATTTTTTTTCATTTTAATTCCTTATGTTTGTCAATATTAAATTCAGAGCTTAAATCGACCCATGAAGTTCTTTTACTAAGTTTAGAAATGAGCGTAATGTATTACCGAAGTAATGGCTGTTTCCATTGTGTACTAACTTAACGTAATGATAAATTCCGTACTGTGGAGCACAAAATGACCCGTGATTTTTGTGATTGGGAAGTTTAGATCACTTTGTTTGAAGAGTAATCTGTTAATACTAAGACCTTGTTGAAAAAACAAACATCAAATGGGTAATACATTACAAGACCATATTAGTGCAGCAGTTACTTAGCTCAATGATTGCCCAATACTGTTCATATTATAATAAAGATTAAATAAAATTACAAGTTAATAATTCTTTGTAGTATGTTGACTTATCATAGAAACAGATTTTTATATTTTTGGTGTCTTTCTTTGCTTTTTATGATTTGTAACACCAAATATATCATTTTATAATTATACTATAGAGTATATTTAGTTTTTTGTACTTGACACAATATTTAAAAAAGATAATGGATATTTTTAGGTGTCGTAGATTAAGAAATATAAACCTGAATGAATATTCATTGTTACTGAAGTGTATGTTTGTGTAATCAGGCATGTTTAAAGGAGATCTGGGTGTTGTTTTTTCTTTATGATTTTAAAATCCCTTGTACAATTTTTACTGCACTTTAAAGTTCATTATAAGTAATTTTTGATTCTTATAAGTTATATTAAGCTCAGCTGCTATCGAAACATGGCCATTCACATTTGAACATAACATGTGGACAACAAAGGACCATTTGATCTTTCAAGGCTGCCCTTTCACACCCAACCTTGAGAAAAGTAAAAGTTTAAAAACATTCTCTATTTTTCATGAAATGATTCATTATATTCTTAAGCTTGTGTAAAGTACTGGCCCCTGCTGCTTCTGACAGAAACCCATTCTTCAAGTCATTCAACCTGTTAGAAACATAATAATGTTTTAACTGAAGCTTAGCCTGTCTTTTTCCAAACCTAAGCTCATGTTCTCTTGTCTTTAGAATATAGCACAAACAAATAGAAGTTATTTTTTTCCTATAGATTCTCCAGTATATTATTGTACACTTCAAGAAGACCACCTCTTACCCTTCTTTCCTTAAGAGAAAATAAGTTCAGATATTAACTCATCTCTGGAATCTTTCTAGTAGTCCTTAAAGTTTGAACTCTTTTCACTAAGCAAGTATCTTGTCTTAGATAAGGAGATAAACTGTAAACAGTATTCCAAGTGAAGCCTAATAAGTGATGTTTATAGATAGGTAATTACCTCTTATTTGTAATCGATATGTCTATAACTATACCTTAAAATTTCATTACCTTTACTACTGGCAACAGAGCACTACCTCAATGACAATTATATGAACACCATTTCTTGAGACAAAACTCCTCTAGTAAAATGAATAAATTAATCTTAGGTTTAGTTGATAGGAGGTATAAAAAATATGTATATTAATATGTTTTCTACTTTATTAAAAGTACAATTTTGAAATGCTTTAAAAAGATATTTACATTCAAGTTTTTGTTTTTATCAGACATTAGAATTTTTTTTTTCTGGACATATGAAAACAAACATTTTGGCAGTGTACTTTTTTTATACTTAACAAGAACAGTTTTTTTATTATATACTTTTGGTTGTATAAACCTTTTGCTGTAATATGTATATTGAAACAGAATTCTTTAATTTAAATTACTAACTAACAATTAGAAATCAGAACTAAATTTGTGAAATATTGGAAATTTCTACAATTATATAAAAGTATGCTGTACTTTTAAGATGTTTCAGTTGCAAAACATTTTTTTCTTGTGATCTATTGCAGGCAGCACAAACTAAATTGTTGTGGACCTTAAAGCAAATTGATGCATAGAGCTAGTGATTTGGAAGATTTAATCTGATGGCCGTGTCACGTGTTCCTTCTCCACCTCCAAATAATGAAGTTGCTACTCCAGTGGCAGAAAGTTGGTGCTACACACAGGTGAGACATTTTTTTATAGAATTATTTTTGTTAATGTACTCAATCATTTGAAAACATTACTTTGCTAATTACATGTTTTTAAAGAAATTTAGTTTGATTTTCTCTAAGCAGTTTCATATAAGCACTCTGAATGAAGAGTTTGTAGAGTTGAAAATATTTTATTCTACTATTAGAGCTTACTTTAATGATTTAAAGTAATATAATACCATTGAAGTTAGTTACTGGTAAGGGTTTTGAGAAATATTTCTGAAAATCTGATTATTGTTTAGTAGTAACATTAGTAAATGATAGTTTAATGCTTACACAAAACCTCATGCTATCAACAGAAATATTTAGATTGAGAATTGCTAGGTATTAAATGTTCATTCCTGATGGAAGCTTTAAGTTTGTAGCTTAAAACATTTGAGTTTGTTTTATTATGAATGTTGCATAAGTGATAAATATCTAACAATTAACTATTTTAATCACTGTCATGCATGCTTCCTACACGCGCATGCATGCACACACACACACACACACACACACACATATACACATACATACATACATACATACATACATACGGACACTGAAGTGTTTTAGTTATGTTGATTATAGTTGGATCATCATTATTTCAGTAGAAACTTGTTTGATGGAATTATTATGCAATTTATTTTATTTTTCATCTTTATTTTAAATATTGATGTATTTTCAAATCATACCATGTGGATATTTAGAAATATGTGCCAATAAGAAATTCAGTTGGTTACCAATTAATAAGTAGCTGATTATTAGCTAATTATTTTTCTTATTCTTTCTATAATTTCAAGTCACCAATAAGTACTGACATTTGCAGAAAGGTTTGTGTGTAATTAGGTCATGTTTGCATTAATTTTCATAAATAAAATTGAAAACATTATCACTTGAGATGGCAAAATAAAATTAAGGTGTAATCTAGACTTGACAGAATATTTATGTATTGCAAAAAATATAACATTTTAAAAGTCGTGGCACATGTGTAAGCTGGTTATATTGACTACAGGATTTAATTCACCATGTAAAACTGAACTCAAGTTTAAAAAAATTAGGAAGTATGTCAATAAATTTTGGTATCTGATATGTCAAAGTTATTTATACATCTATTAGATATGGCCTTTCAAGTTATTTTATTAAGCATATATACTTTGATGTAATTTCTGAATACTGTTTGATAAAATATCAACCAGTTTGTGAAAAATGTTTTAAGTTTTTGACAGAACGAACAACCTGGAATTGAAGAATCAAAGAAGAATAAATATTTTATGGTAACAAGACTGTTGAATGTAACTAAATTTTAAGTTTCACTTGAACTTAACAGACTTCCTATAATTAAGTTTGTAACATATTTTAAGGGCAGGAGGACAATGTCTAAATAGGTTTGGAGGATAGCAAGTAAACACAACCATTAACCGACCTAGTTTGTCCTGCAGTCCTCTGTCCTCCAGAAATCCAGCAATAAATAGGCATAAGACAACAGCAGTATTTACTCTTTGAGGCTACAGTCTAAATAATTGGGAGAATATACACAACATTTTATTGTAGAGACAGGGCTGCTTATTTGATTATAGGTTTATTTTTTATGGATGCCCATGACATTTGGTATGTTATTCATTAATATTATGAACATATAACTAGTATTTACTCTGAATTTATAATCTGTGACATATTAAGCAATTTGTTAACTTGCATTTTTTCAAGACCTGAAACTGTTTGCCTCCAGGCAAATGCAAGTTCTTGTTTCTGTAAGATGAAAATAGGCTGTTTTAGTAATTGCTTCCAGCTCATTCATGCTATGTAGATAGAGCACTTGCATTCAAAGCTCAATATTGTACTTTAATGAGCTTGTAGTAAGAGTAGAAAGCAGTAAATATTAAAACTTAGATATGGTTGTGCAATGTTTACATTAGCTAATCTGAGTTTCTAGTGAAATTGGTTTATGATCATTTTACTTTGTTGCATAGTGAGAAATTTTTCCTTGACTTCAGATGATATAACTTCCATCTTTTCACCTGATTGTACCCATGTTAGGGGAGTTGGATGTGTTATGTTTGCACCCAGAATACATTTCATCCAAGATATCAGTATGTGTTCCTCTAGCTACCATAAGCAACTTTTTCAACAGCAGCTGACTACAAAGCCTTCTTAAAAAATTTGAAGGTTTTTGAAGAACTTAATGAACAAAGCCTATAGAGTTGTTTGGTGTTGATAATGAATGCTGGTGTAATTGACACTTAGGAAATGGCTGGTGGAAATTGTTTGTTTTAAAGAATTCAACAGTTTCATTGCCTTTATAAAGGGTGTAATGAGAGTATTTTTAACTTCTCCACATCCACAAATAGCTGCACATTATAAGCTGTATACCTATAGTATTGAAAGCATGAATATTCATTAATTCATCCACATTTTCCCAGCATATTGTCTGTATTATCTTTAAAAACAGAAAATATTTTTGGTGGTTCTAACTCATCGATAATATTTCCAAATCGATTGAACAATATAATTTTACAATTTACCATGTATATCTAAACTCGTGATTGTGAATGAATAACAGACTGGTTACCATGGGATTGATTACTCCTTGATTGAAATCATTACTTCAGCAATTGGATACTATGGAAATGGAAAAGGATTCCTTTATTACATCTGTCTTTTGCTGGAAATAAGTACTCTTAATATTAGAAAGGTTTCCCATTACACAGAGATATTCAACAGTATGAAAATGTGATGTTTATTGCATAAGTAGCATGAGCAAATATATCAACATTTTTTCTGTGCTAGTCAGATAATTTTATCCATATATTTATCAATATTAACTTGATGTAGGCTTCTAGAACTTGACAAGTTGAAAGTGATGAATTACTTCCATCTTCATCACTCATACTATTAATTTTATTATAATTAAATTAAATAGGTTTAATGTCTTCTTGGATGAGTTAGTTGCAGCTGTCAAAGAAATGACAGCATCATAGGTCTTGTGTGATTTCTCTCAGTCACAAGACATGTATGTGGGAAGCACCCAATTTAACAGTCATGGCCTTTAGCTTTAACCATTTTATCAACTTGATAGCAAATAAAGAAACTTCAGACAAATTACTTTTTCTTTTTTATTCTTCTTCTTCAACTGGACATGGCTTTGGTTTGTTTAGGTCAAGAACAGAATGTCAGTATAAAGCTGTTGGAAAAGCTAACACAGGATACTTAATGTAGCTAAAACTCATAATTTTTACCAACTTCTTAAGAACTTCTCTTTTCAGAATACTCATATTTAAACCAATTGATATGCAATTCCAGAGAGAGATCCAACCAGTCAATTTAATATTTTAACACATCAGCAATCAACCTCAAACCTACACACAATTAAGCTCCAAGATGTTCTCAAACTATGTGGAGTAATAGAATCTCCAGAAGCAGCTTATTTTGTTGGAAATAAAACAAAAAAGTAAAATTTTTTATTTACATTCAGTAGGATTTACCAAAATACAAGGTACGAGTAATATTTAAATATGATTGCTGTTTGTAGCTGTGAAACTAACTTTGTTTTTGGTTTTTTCATTATGAAGTAACAATTCAGCTTATTGACATTAGATACCCATCATATCAAACCTATTTGCTAAGGTTAAGCTATGTTGGAAAAATATTGGTTAGACCTAAATGATCCAGTATAATTATTACTTCTGGTAATCACTTGCATTTCATCATTTATTTAGTTCATTATTTTTCAAGGAAATTCTTAAAGAAACAATTGACTAAATATGCTGATGGCCAAATAATGGCTTGTCACTTTGCTGGCTTACCAACCCTAAATCATTTTGTTACAAATTTAAATACATTGCTAGTTTTTCAAAGAACAGAAGCTTCTTAACTCCCTGAACTCTCAGTATGGCTTATTTAAAACTATCTATAAGTTGATTGGATAAATAGTAAAATAATTTTATTTCAATCTTTGTTGTCTTCAATTTGTATTAGCAAATTGAGTTTTTTTTTGCCAGTAAGGTTTCTGTGGTAATCAGAATAGCTAATAAATGTGTAAAAAACTTTTACATAAGAAGGACTAAAACCCGAAGTTTTTCTATTACTAGTGTCACTAATATAGAAACTATGCTTTGCACATTTTCAATCCATTGATGTTTTAGTGCTGTGATGATAGTTGTATGATATTGTGCTATCATTTGTTTCTAACCATTTATAAGTTAATTTTTTTTATCAGATGAAGGTGATTAAGTTTTCTTATATGTGGACAATCAACAACTTTAGCTTCTGTCGAGAGGAAATGGGTGAAGTTCTGAAAAGTTCAACTTTTTCAGCTGGTGCAAATGATAAACTCAGATGGTAAGTCATATTTTGGTTAAACATATTAATCCAAATAATAATGTTACAGTAGGATTATTTTATACAAAACTAGTTTTTCTGTTTAGATGTAAATACTTGATTCACCCATCAGTATGTTATAATATGTAGTTTAGACTTTATTTAAAAGCTGGGAATATTCAAAAAGTATTTTACCTAGTAAGTTTCACTGACATTATATTGAGAAAAGTATATGAAAAATTATTAAAGTTAACCATTCCAATAAAGTTACAAAGTGTTGCCATATATTTTGGAGATTTTTTATTTTTTTTTTGGTTGAGAAACATATAAAAGTTACTATAAGGTTTTATTTACCAGTACAGTAAAAATGAAATTTATTGGTTCAAATTGAGTTTTCTAGATTTTTAACATACTTGTGATTTTAGCTGTATCATTGTTGTGCAAACATATATGCTAAGCTACAACAGCCACACTCTATTATACCCATGCACTAAGTACATAAATGTAAGGTTGTTAATAACAGTAACTCAGCTAAATTTTGGTAGAGATGTAGAAGTTGAAAAAAATATTAATCAGAATATGCAAATTAATCTAGGAATATTTTGGAATGAAAATACTGTTCAGTACCAATAATTGTTATAAAAAATCTTTCATCAATCTTTTTATACCTTTGAAAAATAAAACCAGATAATTTCACAATCAATCATTATAAAATCAAACCTGTGAGTTAAGTTTAATAAGAATATTTAATATTCTAGATAGTGCATATCAGAGTTGGTTAAGTTCCTAGATTGAGATGATATTGTAAATCTACTTTGTGTAAAAGGTAGTTTTCATACAACTTTTGACATTCTAATCAAATACACATTTTTTATGTTCATTTCATATGCTTAGGAAATTGAAAATACATGTATTAGGTCAAACAGTTTTGGCTTGATGTAAAAAAACAAAAAATAATAACAACAAGTAGCTGAAAAAATTATTCAGAGGCAAAGCTAACTTTGTAGTATCATTGTGTAATTTAACCAAGAAGTTTTGATATATAGTGTTTAACTTAAATTCCCTGGCCACTCAAACGTTGCATCTTATTTGTAGGTGTTTGAGGGTTAACCCTAAAGGACTTGATGAAGAAAGTAAAGATTATTTATCACTATATCTTCTACTAGTCTCCTGTAACAAGAGTGAAGTTCGAGCAAAATTTAAGTTCTCAATTCTGAATGCCAAACGAGAAGAAACCAAAGCAATGGGTGAGATTCACTAACTTAATTCCTGTTATCTGTTGTTAAAGTATATGTGCCATGCAAGAAGTGCTGAGGTACTGTGAAGTAGCATTACATGTATGACTATAAGACTTGAATATTTTTTGTGATGCAACAACATTATTTAGAGTGATGTTTAACTTGTCCTTTTATAAAAGAAATTCAAATTGAAAAAAAAAGAAATTTAAACAAATGTTTTTCATTTTTTGATGAAAAGCATGGAACTTATCTCTAGGTTTGGTGAGGTTTATACTCATTACCCAAGGGCAAAATTGCACCTTTAAATTGAAACAAATTCTGTAGCTTGGACTGTGGTAATACAAACTATCACATATTTTAACTGTATATGCTTTATTGGACTCTTACTTCACATACCAAATTTCAGGGCAATTCATTAAAAAGTACCTGAGATATAACATCTCCAATTTTGATTGAGTCTCTTCCATCATTTTTTTCTTCTTCATCACACCAAAAGTACAGAAACTTTATTTGATAGAAAAACACAACTTTTGTGAATTTCCTTTAAATTTGGCACAATTCATTAGGCTACGTATTTTGATTTACCCACCATCATGCCCAAAGTTGAACAAAATATTATGCTTTTCTAACACATATAGCTGACAGGCAAACGAAAACCGTTTTTAAATTTTGACAATTTACTTTATTATTTGTACTTTATTTGTTGCATCAAGTTTTTTTTTTTTTGTTGACAACCAAATTTAGGATTACATTTTGGTACAGCATTTTTGTTTATTGTTTTATGAAAATATAAATGTTATTTTGACACATGCTTTTGTCCCCTTTCTTTAAATCAAAATTAATTTTTAAGTATGTGTCAACTGACCCCAGGGTAAGTGACAAGACTTTTCTTTCTTCTACAACAAAATATTTAGATGTTTGTTATAGGACTTTTATACTTGTACAGTAGTTGCTTGAATAAATTTTAACTTGCAAATTGATTAAATTTTCTATTTTAATCTTGTATATTTAGCCTGTTTGCATAAAGTATTATGAAAATATTTTTTAACTTAGTAACTGATAGAGTAGCTTGAAACTTAAAATTATAGATGTATAATGAGGAAAAAATGGCAAACAAGCTACAAAATGAACTTGTAGGTACAATGAAAATGTATTACTTTCAAAGCAAATTTTACTTACTGAAAACCAAAACTACCCAGCAATTCAAACTTTTTATTTGTATTTTTAGTTTTGTATGTTTTTAATATTGGTAAATTGTAAAGTTAAAATGTAAGTTCCTCTCTTGTTATGTGCAATATTGATGTAAATGATTTGTTTTCCTTTTGTCATTAATATTGTAAATAGTCTAATTTGTAGAAGCATGGCATAGCAGACCTGTTTGGTTTTGCTCATGGACCAGTCAATAGCAGGAAAAATTAAAGTGTGTGAGCACAAATTATATATATAAAATATAAGTTAAATTGCAACCTTACATACAATGATGTGAAAAATTTACTCTTGTTTCAGTTGCAAGTGATGTTTGTTCACCATCCAGCATTAATTTGCATCCAATGAAAACTTGTTTCCAACAATTCATAAATTGATTTAAAACGTACATCCTTTAGTCTTGTAAATTGGTTCAGATGTGTGTGTTAGAATGTAGATAGGTGGTAAATTCAACTCCTAGAGATCTGGTTTAGAAGGTTTGATTACTTGCTCATATTTTATGTGGTTCCAAATCTCATAGGGTATTATTTTGTTTTTTTGTCTAATTTTACTTGTTTGGAAAAATTTAATCTTTATTTTCTTTTGATTTTAAATAACTTACTTAAATTAGAATAAACAAACTTTCATGAATTATTGAACACAGATACATGAATTATTTATTTTCAAATATTCCTTTTTATCAGACTTATTCAGAAAATAATATTTATGAACATTCATTAAATTTATCTAAAATATGTTTTAAAAGAAAGTCCTCAACTTTTACAGGGTGTTTTACAGTTAACAAAAAAACAATAATACATAAACATTTTTTGATTTAAATGTTCAATTCTGATCTGTTAAATAAAGCTGTAAGGACTAATTTCATTTTTGAAGTTTAACTGAGACATAAATGTTACCTACTTTTCATACAAATAGTGTGTGGACATAGAATAATCACATATGAATTTATATGAAAGAACTGTGTTGCTTTAAATATGTATTACATTTATGTATTTACTTACTATAGAAAGTCAACGTGCATACAGGTTTGTCCAAGGAAAGGACTGGGGTTTTAAAAAGTTTATTCGAAGAGATTTCTTGTTGGATGAAACCAATGGACTCTTACCAGATGACAAACTTACTTTATACTGTGAGGTCAGTAAGAACTTTCTTGTTAATGTATGTGTTTTTAGGTGTGCAATGATTGGTATGTTGTTTATTTATTATTGTGGAACTTCCTGGTAAAGGTGGTAGTTTGAAATTTTATGTTAAAGGTGTTTCAATATATCTATTTAAGTGCTAGATAGCTATTATACCACATGGTATCTGAGCTAGCAATTACTTTATAAGAACTTGACATCTTAGAGAGTGTTTCCACCAAAAATTAAGTCTCAGTGTGCATGTATTTTTTTGGCCCTATTGCCTGAATTAACACACAAAAATGGGTCACACAAAATAAACAGATTTTAAAATCTTTTAGTTGTAATGTTATTAGAAATATGTGTATATGAGAGGAAAAAAACAGAAAACTTCACTATTGCATTACTTTATTTATAAATCTGTCTAAGTGTGAATCTCATAAGATTGTCTGATATTTAGGTAAGTGTTGTAGCTGACTCTGTGAACATTTCGGGTCAGAATAGTGCTATACAATTCAAGGTTCCTGACTGTCGACTTCCGGATGACTTGGGTCTACTGTTTGATAGTCAGAAATTCAGTGATGTCATTCTTAGTGTCAATGGTCGAGAGTTCTATGCACACAAGGCAATTTTGGCTGGTAAGTTACATTTGATTATTGATTGAAGGTAATGTTTTTGTGGCAGTACATTTCAATTTGCTATTAACAAAAGTTATTGTTTTAAGAAGTGTCCTGTTGTACTTAAAAAAAAAAAAATATGTCTTAGTTGCAAGAACTTTGTAAACTGTGCAATTTATCAGAAATACACTTCACTGCCTAAGTATCCTGATATGTATTGTTAGAAGATGGGTCTTAGTGAACATTGTTCTTATATTGTGTTATTTAGTTTGAATATCTTCTACTACTCTCTCTTAGGCATGCTCTCGTCTGGGTTTTTTCAAATATCTGATGCAACTTATCTCCATTATTTATTGATGCTCGATCAGTTGAGAGCAACCGGATAGCTTTAGGCTAACTTTGCAAGTAATAACCCCTACTTATGGTTCCATATTTTTAGAAATATGATCTATGCCCTGGACTATTCATTTAAAGATATTAGAATTGTTGTTATGAAAACAGATACTGGCCATGTCTACTTTGTGGCAGATAATGTAATTCAGCCAAAACAACAAATATCTGGTGACTGAAAAACTGCAACCACCTTCCAGATATCTCCCAACTACAATGCACAGAATACATTCCATGCAATATAAGCCCCCCCCCCCCAAACATATTCCTTCACACCTTCTACAATATGGTCAAAATCATATTTTTCAGTTGCTTTCCTCCAGACCCATGTATGGCTATCACTTTTAAGTTGGATGTAGTGGAATTTATCAATTCAAGAACTTCGGATTAATGACCAAGATTCCACTGGTGAGCTTTACACCAAAGTAAATAATGCTGAGTATTCTGGGAGGTGATTCAAAGCTACGATATCTGTTTTTTCTAGAGTATGTACAGTCCATGAGAGCGGACTACACAGGTCTCGTAGATAAGTCCCTTTACATATCAGGTGACAACTGGAAAGCAGTAAATTCACTGTGAATATATTTTACTAAGGATATTTGGTACTTCAATCTTAACTACTGATCGTTTGTCCCACTTCATCAGCACTTTCAATTGAGTTTAAACCTTTTTTTAGGTAATTGTACCGAAACTTGTTCAATACTGTTAGTTGTTACCATGCCTAATAAATCATGTGATGAGAAATTATTATTCACAATGCTTCTAGTAGTGTATAATTTGTCCACTTTCAAATTCAAGTAATCCATGATGTTTATAGATCATAAACAGACAGTAAAGAAAAGAAATAAGTAAATGCAAAGGTACAATAAAAAAAATCGTTATTGATACCACATAAAGTATTGCTGGAGCTTCACTTGTACTGTTTAATTTTTGAATTTGGTATTTGCTGTTGGAGCCTGAAGCAAGTATGTCTAAACAAGATAGGATTCTGAATGATACCATACTTTCAGGTCAGATAAAAGTCCTATTGTGGCACCACACAATTCCTAAATTACCTACACACCAACAAACACTCCCATTATACATATTCTAGGGATATACAGTGTAAGTCTTCAACTCGTATTAACTTGTACAGGCTTTTGTACCATCTCTTAAAATGAGTATGACCTCACTCTAGGAGGACATGACACAGAAATAAAGTCCTATAAGTACAAGAACAATCATTGTGGTATGTAATCTTTGTTTAAGCTGAAAGATTAATGTATGTTTACAACTTTTCCACATCTTTATGCCAACAAACTACATGCAACACACTTGAATAAAAGTTTAGAAAAATTTACCCAAACATAATTGAATAAAGATTCATTTTACCTAGTTATGGAAGGGTGTAATTAGCAATTATTATAACTGTGGGAAGGTCAGTCTTAGATTATTATTCTTGATGCATTTCATTATAATTTTCACTGTATATTATATAAATGTGAGTTTTCAAGATTGTGTTAACACAAACCAATAGTATTGAAGTTCATTCATGGCCATTAGCTTCAAGATGTATCTTCAAATTTTTGTTTATTATATTGTGCCAAGCTATGTTGGTCAGAAGTTTTTTTTTTATATAAATGTATATTCTTTGAAATGGCTCTGGTGTAAATTTCTATGTCTATAAATCAACCCATGGTGGCATTGCACTAACTGGTCAGAAATTCTCCATGAACTAAGTATGTAGGTATGTGTTTTTACTTTT